GCGGCTTTGCTCCAGTGTCTTTCTAAACAAGATCAGCTACTCTCGGGTGTTGCTGGCCTTGAGACAAGATTGCGAGACAAACAGAATATCGACACCAAGATCGTTGTGAACGCGGAACGTCAGAAGATTCTGGACAACTTCCTTTCCGTCAATCCGGAAGATTCATTCCGTACCAATACACGGATTAGACATACCACGACCGGGTTTTGGCTTACTAAAAATGATGAGTTCACCACATGGATGCAAGGATCAAACTTACACCTGTGGCTGAGCGGCATCCCTGGTGCTGGCAAGACGATCCTCTCCAGTCTTATTATTCAGCAATGCTTGAATCAAGCTACGGATGATAGAGCAGTAGCGTTCTTTTACTGCGATTACAAGAATATCAGGAGCCAAGACGTGGTTCAAATCCTGAGTAGCCTTACATCGCAGCTCGCACGGCAACACGAAAGCTGTTTCCAGCTACTCAAGGACTACGACAATGAACTACGGCCACAGCACCAGCTGCGACGGAGCCCTGAAGTTGAAGAACTCATTGACCTGCTACGGAAGATGTCCAATTACTTCGAGGACGTACGTTTGATAGTAGACGGGCTTGACGAGTGCAATGAGCAGGCTGGCGAGGTAGCGAGAAAACTCAAATCGCTGGGGAGTGATCATGCTGTTATCTCCATGTGTTTTCTCAGCAGAGACGAGCTTGATATCCGTACGGAACTTGATTCGCTTATGTTCGGGCATATCGAGATCGCTGCGCACACAGAGGACGTAGAACATTATGTCAGAACCGAGATCGAAGATAGGCTCAAAAAGAAGAAACTTCGGCTGAAGAGTAGTAACCTCAAAGACGAAATTGTTCGTCAACTCGTAACTCGAGCAAAGGGCATGTGAGTGCTGCTGGATACGCTTTCTCTAACATTTGCTTATCACTACAGGTTCCGTTGGGTGTCTTGCCAGCTCGATCACCTCTGTGAGCTTCCGACAGATGCGCTTCGTCGTAAAGCTTTAACGTGTCTGCCCACAACTCTGAACGAAACCTATGCAAGAGTACTCACGCGTGTCGAGGCCTCCGCTAGGCCGCTTGTACGGAGAACCTTACAGTGGATCACATACGCCCACCATTCCGGGCTCTCTGTCGAGCAATTATCAGAGATTGTCGCCATAGACGAGAAGGACGAGGAATTGGACCCTGAGGCATGCCCCGATATAGAAGATCTACTTCGATATTATGGGAGCTTAGTTCGCAGAACCAGCGGTTTCAGTTACACAAGTAATTCGTCATGTACCAAACTCGAGTTGGCTCATTTTACTGTCCAAGAATTTCTGGAGGCGATCAACCCCAACGATGCGGAACTGAACGAGTTCCGCCTGAGCTCCACTGACGAGCTCATATTGGCCAAGACATGTCTGAATTATCTATGTCTCCCGTCATTCAATCAGCCCCCTTTTGACTTTGAGGAAGATTTTGAGGACCATCCATTCTACCATCATGCAACAATTTGTCTAACCAACTACGTCGGCCAGGTTACGCATGACGACGATATACAGAGATATCTTCAAAGGCTATTTCGCCCACCAAAGTCCTACAATCTCACCCGTCTTGTTTTACACTATGTTCCATATCTGAGGGATGAAGCTAAAGAAGACGAATGGGTGGATGAACTCTGTTCATACGAGTTCAGCAGCCTGCATGCTGCGGCTATGTTTGGTTTCGGAACAGTGTGTCGATGGCTACTCGATGAAGGATGCGATATAAATCAAAAGTCCGCACTCGGCACTCCATTGGAATGGGTGGTGGTTGGTCCATATTTCATGAAATCTGGGAAGATAAGCTTCCATTTGTTCGAGCACCTCTTTCAAAGCGCCACTGAAAGTATCATATCGACACTAATCGAAGCCGGTGCCGCCTACGATGTGGACGGGGGAGATCTGAACTCTCTGCTTCTCGCTGTATTTCACGGTCCATGGACACTTTCCGTGGAGATGCTTCGCTATGGCATGCCTCTATCTGAGAGTTTCACCCATTATCTGGAGGAAAACCTTCGCGGGGGTAATAAACTGTTCTTGGAGAACTTTGTCGCCTCGATTAATGGCGTTGAAGATGAAAAGATTCCCTTAGATGTCAGAATGCGACTTCTTGATCTTGCTCGAGCAAATGGTATTCCATTAGAGACCAACTCGCCTCTGGATACTAGAATCAGCACGATGCAATATATGAGCGACGAGACGTATGCGGATGCTGTTGTCTATACAGCCAAGTATGGTCCAGTGTCAAATCTACTACATCTTACAACTGACGAGCGATTCTCGGTGAACATGGAAGGGCCATGTCGCTCGGCAACACTGCTTCACATAGCGGCAGAACATAATTCGCCAGAATGTATGGAGCTGCTTCTGGACAAAGGTTTTGATGCCGCTCAGTTGGATGAGTCTGGATGTACAGTTTTGCAACACGCAATCAGTTACGGCATAAAAGAGGAACCTCTGCTACGCCGCCTGATCCAAAGTAACGCCACAGAAGTTGTAGATCGTGATGGGAGAGGCGTTTGGCACGTCGTAGCTGAGAAAGGGCGCTTAGACGTTCTTGATTTACTCATCGCGGAACTTGGACCGGATCATCCTTACCTCTGCATACAGAGCAAACTAGGCAGAACCCCATTTCTGGACGCAATCTTGTACCGAGAGAACCATATCGCATTTCGAATGCTAAGGTCACTTCCGGCAAACAAAGTCCTTGCGACAGATCCGCAAGCTATCCATTCTGCCATAGCGACTGGTCTCGAAGATATCTTGCAAGAACTTGTGCAAATGGGTGCCAGCCTACACAGCGGATCTGATCAGGATCGAAGTGCCTTGTACTTTGTCACCCAAGAAACGACCCCCGGCATACTGAGAATGCTCCTAAACCATGGTCTTGATGTAAATCATCTTGATATTGACGGAAGATCACCTCTCCTCGACTTCCTAGAAGTTGACCAGCACTCGCAGAGACTGAAAGCGCTGGGATACTCTGAATCTGACTCCACGTATCTCAGTCTTTCAGTGATGGAGCTGCTTGCTACGACCTTCTGCACGACCACTCAGGATTAGAAGGGCAACTTTGCTTGGTTCTATTTCTGTACTAAAACCATACCACATCATCTGCTTCGCCCAGCACCGCTTTTCGAACTTGATTCGCTCGTAGCATTTTCAGATATCCTGACAGAACGAGGTGGGTTGAAAGCCTACGAAGAGGCCACTATCAACTCTGGAATTGCTCTCTTGATAGAGATGTGCCTAGATACTGTTTCGAAAACCAGTATAGAGGACCAGGAGTTTATAACAACCTCTGTCAAGGCCGTTATACGGCACGTGCTCGAGACTACGACAGCCAATAGTCTACCTGTTTCACACCCACAAGCAGTACGACCTTTGCTCTGGTCTATCACTCAATCCGACAACGACGTCATTGAGCAGCTACTTCGCCTGGGAGTAGATGTTCACGCTACATGTGGATACTACGATGGAGACTCGGCTATTGATATTGCTATCAAAGGCACCATTGAAGCGAGATCATTCGACAAGATCCTCGCTCATGCGGACCCTGTTCGAGTCCCTAAGCTCGATGCAGAAGGCTCAATGAGACATTTTGAGCTTTGTCGGCCGGAAACCTTTACGGATGAGGAGCACGCGGCCCGATCGGCGGTTGGCGAAGCACAGCGAGAAATGGCCTTACGTGTTTCAAAGCTGAAAACACTATTGCAAAGAGGTGTTGATCCTAACGCGAGATCGATTCATGGTTGGACAGCAGCTATCGAAGCAGCTGTAAATGGCCAACTTGAATGCATGAAACTGTTAGTGGCTTTCTCTGCGGATTTACTACTCACTGATCAAACCGGATGGACTGTAATACACTATGCCATCGATGGTGAGCATCTGATCTTGTTGGAATACCTACGACAAATTATCAGGCAAGACGAGGAATGGACACGGCCCGCAACGCTTGTAATGTTATCTAGTCTTTCAGATGGCAAACCTCTGGGTCCACTATCTCATTGGAATTACCATCGTTGCTCTCCGACACATTTTGCAGCCTACAACTATACATCAGATACGCTTCAGTTTCTGCACGGCAACAACGTTGTCGGCAACATCAATGCAGAAGCCCAAGACGGAGTCACCCCACTCCATTTTGCCGTATGCATGAATTCACCTCATACAACCAGATGGCTGTTGAAACACGGAGCGGACATCAAGGCAAAGTGCGGCAAAAGAAAGATCTCCGCGCTGCACGTTGCTATGAGATGGGGCTGTCTTGAAACCGCGATCGCACTTGTCGAAGCTGGAGCGGAGTTTTGCGCCGATTCAACAGGTATCACACCGGAGATGCAGGTAGATCCGGCAATTTGTGCAGATTTGCTCGAGCTTCTTCTCAATGTCGGATTTCCAATTTCTCCCATTGTGATGGAAGCTATCCGGCGTAGGCTCAAACTGAAATCATCTGGAAGCTTGTACAGGGCGATTGTGAACGGAGATCTTGAGGCCTGCAATTCAATCATTGCGACTACACCATGCTTGCCCAAAGTGGTCGAAGAATGCGCTCCATGCACACCGCTTGTCGTTGCACTATCTCACAATCAACTAGACATCGCGAAGTTGTTTCTTGATCATGGAGCTTCCACATACGGTGTCCCATGTCGGAATTCCGCCAACGTCGGCTTCCAGGCCTCAGCTCTCGAGATAGCCATTCGAAAGCCAATTCTCAATCCTTTGCTTAAGCAGCTTCTCGAGCAGTGCCTATTACACGAAACACATTGGAGTCAGAGATTCGGTTATTGGCGACCGTTCCATGTCGCGGCCGCCTTTAATCCCGGGGCAATCGAGATACTTGCAAATCACGTTGTTGCGCACGTGAACTTGTTCAGGTACGTCAGATCTAGCAGACTTGTAGTCAAGGATACCCTAAGGATCTACCAAGCCTTCATGGGATGACTTTCTGACGTTAACATAGAGACAGTCTACATATGGCCACCGGAAGGTTCGATGTGAGCTCTTCCTCAATCTTGAAAGCTGGCCTCGAGAGTCTTGCAACAGAATCTGACAAGGTATCGATACCAGAGCTACAGCCAGGTTGCGCAACGCTTCATGTGGCTGCGATGAGCAATAGTCCCGATGCTATCGACCTCCTCCTCAAATACGGCGTCGACGCGAATGTGAAAGATGCAACTGGACGATCACCATTACACTATGCTGTGCAGGCTGATAGTAGCATTCTTATTGAAAAGCTATTGAAAGCTGGAGCAAGACCTGATGCTGTTGACGTTTTCCAAAAGACGCCACTCATGGCTGCTGCGGAATTCGGCGCAATACACGCTGCCTCGACGTTATTGAAGCATGGCGCCAATTTGGCGGCGGTAAACCTCGCTGGCGAAAACGCAATGCATAATTCTTATCAAGGAATAAACATCAAGATGTTGATGTTCTTACTTGACTCCGGATGCGACCCCTATCAGCTCGATAACAGAAACCATTCTCCGGTGTACTACGCGTTACCATGTAGAGATCTTGCCACTTATATCTACGCACGCTGCCTAGATTTGAGCCACATGGTTAATGAAGATCACGTTCCCATGATAGGGCCAGGGATTCAAGCTTTGCGCTTGTTTCTTTCTTATTCTTCGAAGGCCTCCAGGAGTTTGTTCCTGACAATGAGAAATGAGGACGGAGATACAGTGTTGATTGAAAGTGCGATCGGAAGTGGCCCAGACTTTATCCAAGTTTGTGTCAAAGCTGGCGCGCAGCTCGAACTTACTCGCAAGAACGGCGATACAGCACTCCTTGCCGCCTGTCGAGTCGGACAGCTACCCTCTGTCGCGTACCTTGTCCGGCAGGGAGCCAAGCTGGAGTACAAGCATCGAGGTCGATCTCTCAATGCCCACGCAGCAGCATGTCAGCATCCAGAGGTCATCAAATGGCTGTTAGTAAAACGTTGGACTGAGCAAGGCAAACTTGGTAGTGAGCCTGCCGATAGTGGGGAGCGGGTGCAGTGCCAACCTTGGTCCGGAGTACGGACTGTCAAGATACCTTTGCGTGGAGATTACGAGCGGCCAAAGGGATCATCACTATTGGATCACACGATATACTTGCATAGTGTTGCGAAGGGAGGATGGAGGGTGTTGGTGCCATTAAGATGGGATACCGTTGCGAACCTCGTGCCGTTGCTTGGAGAGAAGTGAAACATCATTTGTTTCCCACAAGATGGCGCATCTTTGCCAAGAACCTTTTCAAATAGGGCGCGGTGGTTCCGATCATCCATGTAAGACATGATCTATGATTTGACTATTATAAACATGCACCACATATGCCGTGTCCAACATTCAAACTTCCTCTCAACGCGGGTTACTACATGAAGGCCATGAAGCTCACTGTTGACGCCACCCCAATAGCCCACCAAATGCACTCCGTGACTAGATCCCGAAGACAAGGAGATGCGTTGGGTGTCGGCGAACCCAGCGATGACTCTACCGAGCATACCGTACCACTCGTATCCGGACTGGCACTGGTACTCGTGTTGAATAACAGCTCAACCCATTGTACATCGAACCAGGCATCTTGACCAATGTCCATACGTCCAGAGAAAGTACCACCGTTACTCCAAAGACTCAGGATGATCATGCTCTCCTTATCCGGCACATTAACTTCTGTATCCGCTGACTGCGCTCCGTTCATATACCACGCGCTTCTTCCATCCACCCAGTCCAGTCTGTAATTGTTCCAAGTCGAAGTGGGTTGGTGAGCCTCCATTGACACATTGAATGTTGCGCCATTAATAGCTACTCCAGTGTCGGGGTCAGTGGTAGGCTGATTGGAGTAGTGCACTTCTTCTGCCGAGCCTCCGGTTGGAATCTCTATATCCGACTCGGATGTGTCATCGTGGTACGTGAAGAAGCCAGCAATAGCGCCACTGGCTCCATGGATGCGCGCGGACATGCGGATAGAGGCGAATGTGACGTTGTATTCTGCAAAGTCAAGCTCAGCCGCCAGCTGGCTTCCGTCTGAAAGCCTTGTCGTATGCAAAGAGAGGTAAGTCGAATGTTCCTCCGATTTGTCGGTGTTGTTGCCTGACTTTGGTTAAGAAAGCGCAGAAGCTACGGAAGAGAGTATAGCTTACTGATTGATACACGAGACGGTTTGTAGTGCATGTCTATCGTGTCATTTTTGGGGGAAGGTCTGAACCAATCTCTAGCATTCCAACCCGAGTTCCAGGGAGCAGCTTCGATGATCTTGGACTGGCCATTGGCCGATTCAGTAGCCGTGTAACTCTTTCCGTAAGACGAGGCGGCAGCCGCATCGCCATCAATATTATCACGAATGTTCCTAAAGTCGTAGAAGCGATAGAAGTCGTACGTTGCTGCTGTCGAGCCATTGGTTGAGAATTGGGTACATTCTGCAGAGACCTGGACGAGGAGAAAAGACGCAGCGAAAGCCAATAGGAGAGCTGCACTGGAAAACATGGCAAAGAATGGAGGTAAGCGATTGGGATCACAGCAGACTTGATCTGCAGATATTACGACTTATCAGTCGCATTTGCTTATACTACATACGTGTAACGGTTTCCTTTCGGTGGTCTCATGGTCTCGATTTCACCTGGAGAGGCGTTCAGGCGAGACATGGTAAGCTAAGGCGTTCAGCTGCTCGGATTCGACGCTCAAATTTCCATTCATAGAAACGTAACGTGGACGTGGAGTATTACAAGGCTATGTTGTTTTCGAGACGTGTAACAAAGGATGACAGGATGACACAGATGAGGCTTGCAGAGTTTTGTGGCTTGCTAGTGGCGTCCAATTAAAAATGCCTGGATTGACTCCCGCGGCTCCGCCCGTCCTAGCGCTAAAAGGTACCGTACCCGAAAACAAAACCCGCTCATCGGTCTCGACTCCCGCTCGCAAAAGGAACTTGTAAAAGTGTCAACTATATGCCGCAGACGCATCAATCTGAAGAAAGCGGCACAGATCCTGGCAGCAGTTTTCGATCGACTTTGCCGTCTTCCACTCGAGCTCTACTGCTGCCCTCGTGGGGTCAGCCACAACAACGCCTACGTCACCCGCACGACGTCCAACCTCCTGCGTTTCTATGACCTTTCCTGAACAGGTTTGCATTGCTGACACGATTTCCTTGACCGAGCTACCATCGCCGGTGCCTAGGTTGTACGTGTGGAATCCTGGTTCCAGCCGCGACTCACCAACCGCTTTGAGAGCAGCAACATGGCCCAACGCCAGATCGCTGACATGGATAAAGTCGCGCATTGCCGTGCCGTCCCTGGTGTCCCAGTCCGTGCCGAAGATCTTGAGATGCGGCATCTGTCCGTTCATGACTCGAAGTAGGCTAGGCATGAGATTGCTGGGTTCTGTCCTAGGGTATTCTCCTAGCTTGCCAGAAGCATCGCAGCCTATGGGGTTGAAGTAGCGCAAAGCCACAATGGACCACTCTGGATCTGAGACCGCTAAGTCATTCAAAATAGCCTCGCACATCCATTTGGAACGACCGTAGGGATTTGAGATCGCCGTGCAGCCGCCTTGCGTAACTTGCTTCTTTCCTGCAGCATCAATCCAATCCTGGGTTTCGTGAAGGCAATGATTCTCGCTTATCCGCAGCCCAACCTCGGATGTCACTTCACCATAAACGGCGGCAGAAGAAGAAAAGATGAGGTTCTTGATATTCAGGCTGTCCAATAACGTGCAGAAGGTGACCATGCCTGCGACGTTATTGGAATAGTATCGCAGTGGCTGCTGGATACTTTCGGAAACAGCCTTGTGGGCGGCGAAGTGGATGACGCCTTCGATGACGGATCCCGACAGTCCAGCGCTATACCGTTTGAGAATGACAGACATGGCGTGCTCGTTTCGATAGTCGGCTTCGTGGAACGTGAGAGATGGATTCCATGAAGTGTTTCGGTAGTGATCATCTCGCAGCTCCTTGATGCGGTCCAGTGTTGACAGGTACGAATTGTCCAAATTGTCGACAATGACAACATTGTATCCGGCTCTGAGGAGCTCCAATGACGTATGACTGCCAATGTATCCTAGACCGCCAACGACAAGAACGTACTGGGATCGACGAGCATTGGGCCCATCCGAAATGAAGGACGAAGGCTCGTCGATCTCAGAAGCAGGGGTGCTGTATCCAGAGAGGATAGTTGATACAGGTGAAGAAGGGGATACATCAGTAGAAGATGAAAACGGACGAGCTTCGAAGTAAGACATGATGATCGATAGCGATGGAGGTATTCTCTTCAACTGCAGTCTCCTACGCACTTTATGTATGTTGCTTTCTCTTCACTTCCACAACACTTCCGACCTCGCCATCGCCTGTACAGCTCACTGAACTGTGCTTCCAGATCTAGACTCCACAACTTTCTTCGTCTATCAGCTTCAGCTCAACAGCAGTTTCTCCGTAAAAAGCCTCTTCGATTCGATAGTGGGAACGCTCTTTTCTCCAAGCTGACAACATGCGTTTCCAATATCTGACTGTTTATCCTGGTTTTGCCTGACAGCCAATCCCACATGTGGATTGTTGTGTACCAGCCAGTCTACCACAGTGGTCTAGAAACGTGTCAGCCACAAGTACTTTTTCATCCCGCCTGGCCACGACATGGCGTTTGCACGTTTGCCAGCAACTACACATGTTTGGTACAACCCCAGCTCTGGAACTTCGGAACAGGGATGAGCAGGCATTTGTCACATCACTCCATGTAAGGGTGCTGTAAGGTCGCCAGGCTGATCTGATACTCGATACTGCCAGGATGTCTCTGAGATCGGAATCGATCGATCATGGGTATATCGCGAATGTTACGTTTACTGTTGTTGGTACAAGCCGTAGGATTTCGTGTTGTTGATTACGAGGGCCGAAGTAGTACGCAGTATGTTCACGAAGCTTTCAGACTACAAGACACGACTTCTGTGTAAGTTGACTTGTCAGTCTCATTTCACTGAAACATCGCTCGTGTGGCGAGGTTGTACCATACGTAGAATTGTGTTGAGAACGTGGAGGTTGATGTTACGCAACGTCAACGTCCGGAGGTACTTCCTGGTCAGCCCTTTGCACGGCTGGTACCCGGTAATGCGTTGTGGAAATGATTAATGCCGGGATTTAAGCGATGCGGGGAATTTTTCAAACTTTGGTTCGGTCGTCCCGATGAGGCGGCGCGTCACTTTAGCCACAGGTACTTCGTGCACTAATCTCTAGGTAACCAAATTTCTCCCTTTTAGTTTTGGCACTTCCAAATAGGTCCATTGCTTACACGACATACAGATCGAGTCCAATCTACACTGTTCTTTTTTACAGCCCACATCGCTAGACCACCTTGATCGGGATGTTCGTGTTGAGCCGCAGTGGTATGTGCGATGAGCTAGCAATGTTCACGCACTACAATCCTGGTGCTGGGCGCAGTAACGAAACAGCAAAGTGTAGGATTTGAGTACAGCATCAAAATAGTATCCTTAGCTGCGGTGTTCCAGAACGATGTTGTGGCGCAGAGCTGAACTTGCAGCGGCGATGTTGTTGAGTTTTGGGATGGCAAGTGCAGAATCGATATTCTGACATTTCGTTCTAGGTCTGTGGTGGGGATGTATAGGACCTTCAAAACAGCTCGAGAAGCCATGCTGTACCTTCTTGTGTATAGGTGGTTCAAGTCGACCCTCAGAGTTCTTTGTTAGTCATTGCTCTTCGTCCATTTATCGTTCGGCCAAGCCTTCACATCACTCCGTCCTTGACCATGGGTGCGACTCCTGTCAATCCGTTTGTCGACGTGGACGAGATATTGCCCATTAATTCTCCATCTCTACCAAGCTCTTCTGCGGCAGACACCGCGGTACATCCTGCATTGCGTTCGCCAGGGATCACCATTTCTCATCACAATGACCTACCACATCCTCGGCCTGCTTTCCTTTCGTATGGCTCATCTAGATCGGTCAACAGCTGGGACGATCAACCTCCGCCCTATCCATATGGGACACCCTCTTCCTCCACAACAAGTCTTGCTCAGTCCAGCAACGAATCGCTTCCTCTCCGCCAAGGCGTGCCGAAACGAGATCGACGAAATCTCGTTTTTCGCGGCTTCTCGGCCATGAAGCGCAAAATCTTCAGCCACGTTCACCCAAGGACGATATGGCAGATGATCGATATCCGTGAGGTGTTTTGGCCGTTCACTTGGAAGAAGTACATCATCCTCTTCATCGTGGCTGCGCTTGCTGTCGGAGTCGCGATATCGGATCACTACTTCGGCTGGATCAAGAAGTCCATGGAGATAACGCGCAGCAACATGCTACCAGTTCTCATCATAGTTATCGGTCTCGAACCAATCATGATTACTGTCATCCTACTGGTTGCTCGTGTACCACCTCTTCACCCTCCCGTCGGTCCGCCTGTCGAAAAAGCTGCTCCGGATGTCGAGCTAGATGTGGAGAAGGCCATCTGCATTGTCGAAGCTACACCAGAACATCGCACTGCACTCGTCATCCCATGTCACAATAGTGACCACGAAGCTACCAGTAAGGTACTCAAGAGCGCCTTCGTTCACTTCCGACCTCAAGACATCTTCGTCGTCGATAATGGCCGCACTAGGCACCCGGTCTCCCCCGAGTTCCGTAACTTCATTCGAAGCGAGCATCCCGACATCAACTACATTTGGTCGCCGATTGGTAGCAAGAACGCCGCACAACTCGTTGGTGCCATAGCGGCCAAGGACTACGACTGGATCATGACTGTTGACGATGATGTCTCCATCCCAGCGACCTTCCGTCCACCGATCGACAAGATGGACGACATAACGAAGGGGTGTGCCTTCCCTCTCAAAGCTGTTGATGCCAACGGTGACGTGCCACTCTGCCTCGTGGCATGGCAAGACTGCGAGTATAAGATGAGCGGTCTCACCAAGCTTGCTGAGTCGTCCATCTGTGGCGTGTTGTACCCACATGGTGCAGGCTGGTTCTGCGAAAGAGATACACTCATCGATCTCATTAGCAACTACCACTCCATCGACTTCATCGCAGAAGACGTCAATACAGGCCTTTCGATGCAGAAGATGAAGAAGCGCATTGCCTTTGATGCAACATGCGTGCTCGAGACCGAAGTTCCAACCACTGTCCTTGGGCCAGGTCTTAACTGGTGGAATCAACGATATCGTTCATGGGAAATGGGTCGTCATGGTCGTCTCATCGCTTTCGCAGACCGCATGCTACTTTCGCTCAACGGACAGACAACGCCTTGGGGTATCTTCACCCAGAAGTTCATTCACCTATACTCCATCGCTACCATCATCGTTGACTGGGTGCGCATTCCCGTCTTCGCCACAATGGGCGGCGATCCAAACTTCTGGCGACTTGGGGTTCCGCTCATGCTCTCTGCCACTCTACCCATTCTGGCCTTCAAATACTTCAATGCGCGGCACCGACCTGATCTCCAACCCCGGTTCTGGGCTGCAATGACCTACCCTTTGTACAAACAACTTTACAGTCTTGTATCGATCTTCGGTGCTATCCGTGCTGTTATCTTCTACGCTGGAGGCCACAAGAAACCAAAGACCATCAAGAAGATGATCAAGGATAATGATCCTAATGCCGTGTGGCTTGATCCTCGCTTCGAGAATAATCCAGCTTATCTCGCTGATGAGGCCGAGGCTCTTCTCGCTGCTGCGAAGGAAGACGCTAGCAAGAAGGTGCCTGCTTCCGTGTACATATCACCGGCTTCTCCGTAATGGGGCGCGTATGGGGAGCGAAGCGCGAAGTAGACACTTACTCCATTGGGCGTTCCGGAGGATCTTTTGCTCACATTTCGACTGCATAGAACGATACCCTTCCCTTTGTCAAACATGAGACACATTAGAAAAGTGGCGAATTAATGTATCAATGTGATCACGAATGTGTTCGTTGTGAAATGCATGTCATTCTTTGTGACGATGAATAGAGTGTTGAAAACGCGATGCGCAGTATCGCGACGCGACTTTTCGAAAGCACAAGATCTAGTTCGGGTGTGGGCTGGCGCTTACGCACAGACCGTCCTTGCTTCTGCTGCTCCTCTCTACTGCGCCATCGGTGCGTTATGAATGACGGAACTTCATCAAGAGACATCAGCCCTTTTCATGCCATCCCTAACGAGGTGAGACGCGTTCATCGCACATATTCACTTGGCCATCATTTGATCGCTCTTTGGTAACGTCTTACGACCGGTCGTCATCGGTGTCGCATAAGAAAGTGCCCCGATGGTCAACCCCGCTACTCCACCCAATGTGTCGCTCGGCAACCATTCTAGCTCCGAAGGGCTGGAGCTTACTTAGGTGCACGTTCCCTGGTTGTGCTCTGGTTGGTCTTACGGTTTGCTTGCTACCACCATATCGGCTGTGTGTAGGCATCAGTTTCGATTACGCTATGTAGTTTGCCGCTTGAGGAAGTATGAAAGGGCTCAAGGGCAGCAGGCATCCGTTGCTGCGCGTCTGACCGGTCCGCCGGGCCTGAACTCCACTCCCGGTACTTATACAACGTTGTCCAGGCATAGTGAACGTTCTTCCCCACGATGCTCATGGTCATCACCTGCAACTTATATATCCTTACTACCTCTGGAGTTTGAAGCCAACATAACGAGATGGCCACCGAATCTAAGGACCCAAGCACATTTACATTCCATCATGCCGACCTAGGTCCCATGACTGGAGTCATTACACCAAGCAACGTGGTCCAATTCCGCGCAGTGCCATATGCTACTATACCGGCTCGATTCAAGCAGTCTGTTCTCGCTGAAACGCTTGCGGGCAAAGACGACTTCACAAAACATGGGTAATAGCCTATCTTCATATCCAGGTCGGCTTCATAACCGATCGTCGTTGGTCAACTCTGACAATCACAGTTACGTATGTCCGCAAGTATTCAGTGAAAACGTAGTGGGAGGTGGAAATTTCCCGGGCGAAAGCTTTCCAGCCGCATCCGACGAATTTCAATGTGCCATCCTCCAGCTTAACATACCGCTCTCGTGCCTCAAAGATCAGCCGCCTTCGTCCAAGCTTCCCGTGCTAGTGTACATACATGGCGGTGGCTTCGTGCTCGGAAAGATCGATGAGCAGCACAGCACAGCCCTAATGGTTGAGCAATCGATTCTTGATGATCAGCCTGTTATCTCAGCAAGCATACAGTACCGGGTGGGAGCGCTCGGTTATCTGCACACTCCGGAATCTGGCAACGCGAATCTCGCTTTGAATGACCAGCGAAACGCGCTTCTTTGGATCCAGAAGTTTGTCGCAGGATTTGGAGGAGACAGCAAGAGAGTTACCGTGTTTGGAGAGTCTGCTGGCTCCATGTCAATATGTAGCCACATGCTGTCTGCGCCTCCATCGTCTGGTCCACTCTTCCAGAGAGCCATCCTGTGTTCTGGTGTTCTTGGACCAACAACAGCACCGTTATCGCTGGAGAACGCAAGCAAGACTTACAAGGACTTCTTGAAAAGAATGGGAATTGAAGAAGACGGAGAGGCCAGTCTGGATCTACTACGCAAGGTGGATGTGCAAAAGATCGTTGACGCAACTTCTGAGTATCGTGCGGATGGCGGCATGTGGCTGATCGTCCAAGATTCAGAATGGTTTGGCGATGCTGCTGGATCGGTAACCTGGGATCGCATTCCTGAGTTGCTCAGCAAGTGCGACTGGGTCAATGAAATTATTCTGGGAACTACAGGTTCTGAGGTAAGGGAATGATGCATCCAGACGCGCTCGGCATCAGAGGCTTACTTATCATCCAGGGCATCACCCTCATGCAGCAAATAGTTCCCGTCAGCCCGGACGCATTCCTCAGTGGCATTGCAACTCAGTTAGGCGAGCAAAGCGCGGAGCTAGTCGGTAAGGTTTATGGTGTCGCTCCAAATACCGACCAGAACTTGTTCCTAACAGCGGGTGCACGCTGGATGGGCGATGTTGTTTTCGATGGTGAGTTATAGATCGGTAACGTGGAGCATGCGTCACTAATTCTCGTAGCGCCTACTCACCAACTAGCACAATACCTTACCCAGCATACGAACAAGAAAGTTTACCGTTACCTTTTCGACGTCCGTAACCCTTTTCCTATTAGTCCCTTTTGGCAACAAGCGCATCATTGGGTCGATGTCTACTTCATGTTCAAGACGTACCAATTCCGCTACCCCACCCAAAGACTGAAGGAGATCTCCACGCAACATGCGCAAAATTGGATCAGTTTCGCAAACGGAAGTACACCGTGGAAGGAATACAAGTACACTGGTGATGGAGACGAAATCGTGATGGTGGCGGATGAGAGGGATGGCTGGGTAGAGAGGACCGTAGGACAGCATGAGAAACTGGTGGAAAACACGTGGCGGAGGTGCGAAGCATTGTATCAAAGCTGGGATAGTATGAGAGGCAAAGAGTTCTCACCATTCGATATCGATCCGATGAAGGTAAAGAAGGCAGCCTAAGTCACCAAGGTATCGTTCACTTCAACCAATCATTCTGAGTCATATCAGCGCTAGGCTTTGTTGTGCTTAGCGGTGGTCTCAATCCACCGAAGACCTTTCAAGTCATCGTGTTCATGATCCTCTTCAGTGTATTGATACTTGCGCAAACCTGATACTTAGAATTCGGATCCCCTAAGACTTCAGCATGAGCACCCAAGACACCCTAAGACCTTCTCGGCGATTCGCCCTTCTCACATCTCGTCTCATTCTTATACCGACGCCATTAGCCATCTCAATACCATCTTATGTCAATCTGTACGCTGACCTCCACGCCAATGCCGCTTTCTGCAGCATGGGGTTCGGCAATGCTTTCCCTGTTCAGACGCGAACCCAAGAACAGATGCAGGAAGTGATTGCCACGCGAGACATTGCTCGATCCTGGGACAAGAGAGCGATTGGCGATTTCGCAGTAGGCCGACGATCAAAGTTACAAATAAAGGATACAACAGGCCGGAAACTGGTGGATGCGACCAATACAGTAGTGGTCATTGATGAAAATGACATTGACGGTGTCTGTCAGACGCTTGACGATATTGAGTGGCTGGGTTACGCGGGTGTCCGTGACGCTACTACAACCTCTCTTCCTCCACGCAATGCCTCGGATGCTCCGCTACCGCCATGGGAAGAGATGGTTGAACTGCGTTACGGTGTTGCACCATCCTGCTGGGGCCAAGGCGTAGCTCGCGAAGCTGCGGAAGCAGTCATGCAATGGGCAGCCACTGAAAGAGGCGTGAAAAGATTCATTGCTGAGACAGAAAAAGAAAATGCGAGAAGCGGAAGAGTGTTGGAGAAGATGGGGTTCAAGAAGAGTGGTACTGAGTATTGGAAGGATGAGGATGAGGTAGAGTGGGAGAGGGATGCCGCGAGTCTTTGGTAGCCGTTGGTGTGTCATGCGCAAACTTCACAGATTTACTACGTCCAAATGGTAGCTTGTGTACCTTCAGCTATGAAACTCTTCTGCAGTTATCGGAATCGAGCGTAGATGTTGGGTGGTGGAATACGCAGAGTTGAATGCATTGAAATACCAACTGAGTATAGGATTGTTGATACGCTATCAGCAAAGTGCGTTTACAGACTGTGCGCTTGCATCTAGCATAGGCGTTAAGTTGGGTAACTTCTAGGCCGCTCGAATAAGAGCCGCATTAGACCAACAGCACTTCAAAGTAGTGCTAATATCCCTTGGCTATATAGCAGATTTCGTACAACAATCTTGCGCATTCGCCGCATCGCCATCGTATAGCACACTCTTGTTCACCTCTTGAGTGCTCGGCGCAACATCCAGTCCAGGGTTCTTGTCAAAGAAGTTGACCGGCTTCAGTCCAACCACCATCTTCTCACATGGCATGACTGGCCAGTCCTCGATCCTGGGATTATGTGTTGACCCAAAAGTATGCCAGACCACGACATCCTCGTTCCTAACACTCGCTTGCTTCTTGTCTCCAGCTCTCTTTTCAATCGCACTCGCAATGCCATCACCACCCATCGACTGCATTGTGTATTTGCCTGAAGGGAACATCTCATCTTCGCGGTACTTTGTCACCCATACTGCATGCTTGCCGTACTCAGATCGCCGAGCGTGGAAGGATGATGGATGCGCGAGAAGCATCTGGCTGTACGAGGGAAGCAGCTTGAAGCCTACTGGCGTCTGTGTCATGGCGTTGGTCTCTGCTTCGTTGACGATCTTGAACACGCGATTCTTGGTAAGATCGAGATCGAATCCACCTTCGTGCTCGATGTAATTGGTGCGAGTCTCATACCCGACGCCGAAAGGGTTGTGTACATCTGGATCATTAACAGGCATCGCGTGTGACTCTTCGATTACGACTGAATTCTTGTGACCGTCAATAGCAGGGTCGATTCGCAAGCAGAAAAGGTGTTGATGGTATGGTGCAAGCACGCCGGGTGCTACAATGGTACCAAAGGGCGGTTTGGGCTCACCGAGAGCGATGGGTGCGGTAGAGAGGATACCGGTTGCCCGAACTTCGTAGTTGATCGACGCATCTTGACCGAAATGGAAGGCGAAGATGTATTCGTAGTTGCTTACAGTGATGATCGTTTGCAATACAAGAATGCGCGAGCGTGTCACCACGGCATGCCCTGTACGGAAATTTGTATGCTTCCAAAGTATCCCGTCATCCTGTTCATGCAGGCAGACTACATTTGGCAGTTTTAGTGGGAGGCCGGAGGACGTATTGTGCCAACCATCAAAGTATTTGATAGTGCCTGCTTCGTTGTCAGTACTACCGAAGCTCTCCATGATGCAACAAGACCTACCAAGGCAATCACAGCCCAGTCGCAGATTGTTCGCATTGATACCTGCGCCATCGTTTCCCAGGTCAAATGCTCCTTTCCTTGGAAACGGAGCTCGTGGATCACCGTAGGGTACGAACATCTCTGCCAAAGATAGGCGGTAAAATAGGCTTCGCCCGTCGTATCGGATGTCGTGCAAAGTCAGACCTTCACGATAGTTGAAACCCACTCTAAACGTCCACTTCTCCCAGTTAACCCTATGGCCATTGATCTGGAATGATGGGCCTTCTGGCTGGACAACTTGGTATGGTTTTGTAGTCGTACGAGGACTGGATCGCAGATCGGGATGATACTCGCTCGCATCTGTGGCGTGAATCTTCCCTCGGTTGAAAGAGCGTATCTCGTGGTGAATTTGTTCATTGCCTGAAGTAGGTAGACGGTAGATTTTGGTGACTTCCAGGTCTTCAGAAACTTCGGCGCAGACGTCAAGTGGATAGGCGTAGTAGTTTGCGTCTGTGTGGGCTGTGAGTCGAAGATAAAACCAGCACTGCAATTTGAGTCAGCATCTTGGAAATCTGACATTGGAAGTTCAAGGCAATACCATCGAGATGCGACGAGACATATCATTTGAACCGTCAGTAGCATAAGCCCAGGGTTCGACAATCACAGATGCTCCTTCTGGTATGTTGAGGGTTTCAATTTCTGCCTGGACTTTCGGGTCGCGCAAGCACGCCTCTTCAACCTCTTTCATATACGCTGCGTCAATGTACGAGTGCTTGCCTTCAAGATGCTGTTTCCCGATGACATTATTACTGTCGATGGCAACGATGAGTTCGAATAGGTCATTTGCGCCATTCTTACTCCTCACGAGGATCTCCACGCGAGCGCAACGACTGATCTTCGGTAGTGCTTGATCACGCCGATGCTCTGCTTCGAGGTATGTGACGAGCTCGTCTTTTGGTGGTTCTCTCAAAGTGATGACCCTAAAGTTCAAAGCCTGACCTTCGAACGATGATTGAGCTGCATTGGCTACCTTTTTCCACATCAGCATAAGATCAGGGAGGATGTGTATTGATGATCAACCTTTGTTATCTCTTCCGGCGTAAGCGGGTCAAGCGGATGGGGTGTGGACGCCATAATTTCGTCTTACAAGGCTTCGAGGCGCAAACGTATCTAGAACAGCAGAAACTGTTTTATGTACTCTTTATCGCACGAATGGAAGAAACAGAGATCCTTATATATAGATCTCGAGTCTTGGTGGTCTCCGATAGGATGTTCCTCGTGATTGGCCAGGTGCGACCTCGGAGGTTTAGCGCGGAGCGCTTCGCCTGCGCCTGCCTCCAAAGGTTCGTCTCGGACATCATCACCTCCAAAGGTAACAAGCATTCCCACGACGCCACACCTCCAAAGGTAACCCGGAGAGGGGTTTTGATATTTCATCTGCGCAATCACAACATAGTGAATAGTATGACGTATGTTACGTAATTCGCTCACACTCTGCAATCATCAGTTTCGCTTCGCGATCGCTCAACCGACCAGGAAAACGAGGCTACAAACTCGCAATTAGCATCGCAATTTATTACTAGTGAAGCTGTATCCATCTCAGGGAATGACTACCAGCAGTCTTCGAATTACAAGATTGATAGAAGGACTATATACCTTTGTCTTTTCTACACATTGCAATTCACGGTGCTCAACAGCCCTGTAGCACCAGAATAGAGATTCTTAACGTCAAGCGCAAGGCTTCCCTTATCAGATGTTCCATCGACTGGGCGACCAGGCAATAGGAGAAAGAGAAAATGGTTCAATCAGCTCCACGCGTAGTCAGTGGTAGCGAGCTAGCTTGGCTGACGTACACACAGCTCATGCGCAAAGCACAAATGCTCGCAGCGAAACAGGTCACAGGCTGCTGAAGTGAATTCAGCATCGTTCGGACTCAGACTACGGGCCAATTTTCTGGTGTCTGCCTAAATACTAAACCAGCCCATGGTTGTATATTTACCAGCTCTTGGCTGAGTTGAATCCTTTCCGCACACCACTGTAACCCTCACTCCTATTTTCATCCAGGAAAAAATATCACGATATTGCAGAACTGGTAAGCATTCAACGACGTTCCCTTCTAAGCTCTTTCTGATATGCATATCAGCTATCATGTGGTCCTCAGACGAATCTGACTCTGACTACGACTTCGGCGGCACCTGGAATGACTTGAACGGCACCTGGGATGACTACAACTGCACCTGGGGTGACTATGGCTCTGACTACGACGACTATGACTACGAAGGGTCGTTTCCACTAGACTTCCTTCCTTTCCGCAACCTTTGCAAGGTTGCGATTGGCTATCTCGATACCCAGAAAGAGTACCCTCTATACGATGCGACAACGATCGAGTTCATTGCCATTGCCGAAGCTGCTACCTCCGCTACGGCCTGGGTTTATGAGCTAAAATTCCATAAATTCCTCGATCTGCCACCCGAGCTACGCCTGAATGTGTATACTCATCTGTTGAAGGCTGCGCACAGCTGCCAGGAGCTAGCGAAACATCTGCACGTCGCCGGTTCAACAATCCATGTTGCACTTGGCGCTGGCCCAACGAACTCATCATTTGTGACCGACATTCAGGCAACGAGCTACCCACGGCGAAGTATGCGCCCTGGCTTCCTGATCTCGCCTTCACGAACAAGCAGGTACTGGGAGAAGTCACCATATGCATGCTCTCGACAACGAAATGGTTCGACTTCAAGTACGAGGAACACAAGCCTTTCAAGATCGTCCGTTGGTTCACAGACTTCCTCTCCACTTTCCCCACTGTCATGGTCGACGGCGTGGCTACCACCGAAGCTTTTGCAGCTATCAAGTGTATCTGTTTCCCACACGAGTCCAAGTATAACGAACATCGAATCGGGCGTGTCGTCGACGAAAAGAATCCCGACGTCACACTCATGCTGAAGTGCACAAACCTAGACACTATCGCGATGGTGTTCAACTTCCGCCAGCTTATCAAAACTCCGTGGGCCCCACAACCGCGAGATCTGGAAGACTTCCTGGACTTCTTCCATTTCGAGCCGATGCTTGAACACAACAGCGTTAATAACGTGTATCTCGAGGGGGTCTACCCAAGGGAAGGGGAGGGGCAGACCATGACCTGCTTGTACGAGTTTGGCAAGTGGCTCATCAAGGGTTTCAGGAAGCGGGGTCGGGAGGTAAGTGTTCATGTACACAAGAGGTGCGGAGTATTCGTAAGGAGGAGTGTGGGGCCAAAGCTTGTGGTAGACGAGGAATCAGCATAGAATGGGCAGAGATAGTCCACAACACTATCATTGTACATGAGACTACTTTACTTCCTCTGGATACGATTTTGGTAGGGTTTCAGACGAGTTCAGGTTCCTTCTCCATATCATGAACGCTGTGACATGCTTGAGTTCCAATGTTCTCGAGTTACTCTCTTCATACCTGAATTTCCATGGTCAGTTCCTTCACTCCACATGAGAGCTCGAGTTGTCCGTCGTGCAAGTCTTCACCGACAACAGCTGCTCCAGCTGGTAGTTGCAACGTAGCTGTCGTACCGCTGGGTATATCGACGGTCATAACGACTTTCGTACCATCCAACGTCCATGCCACATTGATCGGTCCATTAGGTGTCGGTACCCTCCCGCTAACTTCAGACTGGTTCAGGAACCCAACCATAGGAGTGATGACAACCATTTCGTACCCCGGAGAACTCGGTACAACACCAAGAAGGTATTCCGGCAGTACGTAGGTCGGAGCTGCACCCCATGGATGTGCTAAGCTAGTGAAAAGATCGATACCAGGCGAACCGTCGGGCTTTACATATTCCCAGCTCGCTCCGGAGTAGTATTCGTTATTCTTCACCATGCTGCCCCACAGGTTGTCGAGTAGGTGCGTGATAGCAGACGTACTGTCCACTCCAAGATCACGACGTGCCTTGAAGAGAGCTTCCAATAAGAAACCTGATGGATTAGGGGCAAGCTGATAGTCATCCGTCTCCAAGTCACTTGAGACGGTCTTGTAACCTACCGCGAAGCGAAGCTCCTCAAGCTTGGCAATAGAGGACGCTGCTTGCGTCACATTCGCCGTCCCAGATATAATTGCCCAGGCGATGCCAGTCAAGGAAAAGTTTCCCCGATCGGTGGTAGAGAGTGAGTATGTTCCAAGCTGGTCGTTCCATAGCTCACGATTAAGAGCCTCGCGCAGTTTGCTTGCCGTTTGTGAGTAAGATGTTGAAGCTTCTTCGTCTCCGATCGCAAGAGCAAGTGGCGCAATCTCGTTAAGCATATAAGCGAAGAGACCAGTCGTTGCAGTCCCGTTGGCTGGTCCAAGAAAGCTGAAGGGCGATGGTATCTCTGGGGAACCTCCGATAAGACCAGATGTGGGATCGATGAAAGCCAATCTCGCGGTGGCAAGTCTTTTGATCTGACTCCAGTAAGGCTTCAGGCCATCCAAGTCTCCCGTGTAACGGTAGTAATGGCCTATTCCCGCCAAGAATAAGTCTTGGTAGTCTACTAGCCCAGCGTAGTTTCCAATATTTGCCTCTTTGTACTGGGGTCGGGATCCGAGGTTGGCGGAGATTGGGGTAAAGCCAGCATACGGGCCTTCATCCAGCTGGTAGTTTAGCGCGTATTCGATGGTGCCTAAGAGGTAGTCAAATCGAGCAGACGAAGTTGAGACGACACGCACAGTGTGATAGAAGTCTCCTGTCCAGACTAGGCGATCACGCTTGGCACCGTCAAGGCAGACCGAGTGGTCGAGAGGCGCAACCTGATACTCGGCCAAGCAATCTTCGCTGGTAAGAGGATTAGAGTAAATGATCGTACCATTTCTGGCGGTGACAATCACATCTTTGTAGTACGTGATTTGATCCTGCATACCTCCGAAACCCCATGTGCCTTCGTATCGAGACGGAGTGCCAAAGTTTCCTGGGGCTGCCGGTGGCGGTAAAGGTACGAAGGCAGTCTCCGTCCCGTTCAGGCCTATCCGATAACCCGCTTTCTCAATTGATGTGCTCACGCGATACCACGTGTTTTCCTCGATGGTTGTGTTGATAGTGAAGTACTGGTTTTCCGGCACAGGTAACGTGCTCTGGTTCACCAAGCTCCACTCAGTGTTAAACGCCAAGATGTTTGGTGGTAGGAGAGTCCGGTTTGTGTTTGCGAAAGTGTTCTGCTGAGGATATTCGGATGTAAGCACAAAGTACGGCCCAAGCGGCTGCAGCGCACTTGCTACTCGCCAGCCGGCGCCGCCGCGAGCGATCTTCACATCGAACTCGAGTGTGTAGTTGGCTGCTTCAACACCCAGCGATGACTGTGCGCTTGTTTGGCCTCGAACGAGAGCTCCGTCTTTTGTGATTTCCCATGTAGACGGTGCGTTACCGGCATCTACGCATGCCACTTGTGCGACACGACCTCCGAGGTCGAAGACGCGATTGTAAGTGTCATCCGATGTCTTCAAATGCCCTGGCAGCAAATCAACGTCTAGGTTTGAGCTCGTTGCGCGGAATCCTAGATGATCGATAGTGACAGAGCCGTTTGTGATTAATCGTGCGGTCTGCCATCGCTGTCCTCCCTGGACGAAGAAGCTCTCAATGTATCCTGTCTCCGTGACATTGAAAGTTTCGACACGGAAAGTGTTCGATAGTCCGTTCGAGAATGTCCAAGGTCCATCTGAAAATGGTTCTTCAACTCCACGATATTCTTCGCTGTACTTTACTTCGATCTGTACTGTTCCGGAAATTGCAGAAACGTGGAAGAAGGGAAACCCGGCTACTTCGGTACCGTAGTCGAGTGTAACAAGAGGGTTTGAGGACGATAGTGTCAGGCTCGTATTTGCCCACGGCCTCAAGCCAGATGATGAGGGCGTGGATTGCTGTAGGATTGATTTGGGTATAATCGAGCCATAGTTGACAAAGCTATCATGGTGAGTAAATCGTCTTTGAAAGGTGTCTACGGTAGCTTACGCAGTAGCCAATGGGTTGGTGAAGACTGTAAAAAATGCAAGACGCTGAAGGATGATCATCGCTGCTACCTAGATACCATTTGAGGCGATCTTACAGCCCTTTATTCTACGATCCGACTGGACAGCCATGATTATAGCCGGCGGTCATCTGTACCTGCGATGCATTACAACACTACGACAACTGCCACTCCATGTTCGAGCCTCGGATGCAAGGCCAAGTAGCGGAATGTGGGGAAAAGGCTGTCGATTTGACTCCGGTACTGGCTAGGTAGTGAGCTCGGTACATATGCGACCGATCCGAACATGCTTCGGTATGCATGATCGGGGAGTTTAACAGGAAGCTTAACGTTGTTAGAAGCTTAGGACATGTTCTGTACAGGACGTTACCCCGCAAAGTATGATGCCCCGCATAACATGTTACCCGTTCGTACATTCATTGGACTACACGGCCCAATACGGGCAAGTTTCGGGTGAACAGTCGGTTAGCATGCGTATTTCGGTCTGCGTATTCCAAGTCACGAAGGATACGCCAAAGTCCTCATCGCTGCGTGGTCTGACAGCCAAGGCAATATCTCTCCAGCGACCTTTGCGCAGGCTGTGATAGGTTGTGAGAAGATGTGAGGTCCAAATCTTGATTCAATCGATAGTCACTCCCGAAGTCAGTCCGGCGGAGCACTCGCAATGTCAATTTAACAATCAGACTTCGACATCTCTCAAGAGGTCCAAAGCGTCCTTTCGATCAGGGGCATTCGAACGTTGCTGGCGACCATTGAATACACGGCGAACTGGAATCGTTGAGCGGATGCTGTAATTCTGTCGGCAACGTGTTGCGAGGCTGTGATAGGCTAGAGGCAGGCCGATGCGGCTCACGGTGGCCGAGTTTTGAACTTACTGACGTCCTCGCACTGGACCAAATTTCGTGATATCAACGCAAAAACCAGGCAGAGTGGATGCATTGCTAGATTAACGTATCACGTCTGCGAACAGCGAAAAGCTATGGTCATAGACTGAACAGTCACGAACAAATTCTTTTTCCAGCCACCACGATGGGCCGCCACGGCGAGTATCGGCAATGCAGTGGATCTTCCCTGCCCCCGAAAAACTTTCACTCGCTCGCACATCCGTGCATTCCTGTCCCGTGCACAGCCTCTGCTTGGGTATATAAACCCATCGTCCCTCGTCCTCCTTTCTGCTCATCATGTCGATCATACTTCATAGAATCATTTCTAATAGTATGCATCCTCTTCTGAGTTACTCTAAGTAGCCACAGAATCTCCATCCTGGTTGATGACTATCAGCCTCGATGTCCCGGAGTGAGGCTTTATACGGGTGCTTCGGCGCGCGTGGCGATGATCTTCAGCTGACTGGTTTGTGACTTCGTGTTGCGCTGGAAGGCAGGACGTTGACGGCAATCTGACAGGCTACTTTTTTTTCATTGATGCGACTGGCTTGCCAGTCGATTGAGGAAGAAATATTGAGAAAATGTTCACAAGTGAACCTCTAATGTGCTGACGCTCCACGGCGAAAATCGCTGCTGCTGGCGCATCCGAGTGGTGTGTGGGGGTTGCCAGGGGGGCAAGAACATCAAACTGTAACCCATTCGCCGGCTCACGACTTCGACCAAAGTCTGCTTCGAGCACAGCTTTCCTTATACAAGCACAACGCCCTGTTACAATTTCCATAGCAAGGTCTACAGAGCAACTGGCGCGAATGACTGGTGAGGGTATGAATGACTGACAGAAGTCTGGTGCGCAAAATGCAAAAGCAACCCCCAGCGCTCCAGCGATGGCAGGCACCAGACTTCGAGAGGAAGGGCTGTCAACATGTACCATCAACGCGATAACAAACTCTCGTACTGGTGCGCGACATCAGCAATTTGTGTTACATTGTAGGCTATCACTCCTTTTTACTTTCCCTTGAGCTTCCTGACGCTTTGCAACTTCCATTTCCTCTCATTCTGCCATCCCATGAAAGGCAAAAGCCAATGATAAGAGATCTCCTGGTGGCCTCCTTCGCTTCGCTAGTACACATAGAAGTTGATAGCCTCGTTGTCCGATGCACGGATCTTCTTGTTGTCTCTCATTAACACAAGTCTCATCACCCACGCACACAGTACCACACCCGCCGAGAAGCCCACGCTCGCATACATGGCCTTGCCAAAGCGCGGCGCATCGCTGTCGGGCCACAGATACGGCGTGTAAACGAAGGAGAGGTTGCCCAACGTATTGACGATAGCCAATGCGACTGATTTCTTCTCGTCCGTCTGGCCGAGCACACCGGCGGTCCAAGCCAGCACGATGTTGTTGACACCATAGGT